TAAGGTATGACAGGGAGGTTGTAAGGGATAAAGCCGGGTTTGAAGCACAGGTTTGGACATGAAATCCCAGATTCAATACTTGTTCCACTGGACCATGTACGTTGACTTTAAAGGTCCTCAGTTTCAAACTGGAATGGGGGTTTCTGAGACAGTGCTGGTTGCCTTCTGATTCTTGCGGTGAGCCTCTGAGGTTGTTAGGGCAATTATTATTACATTCCCATATTACAGTTAATGAAAACTGAGGCTCAGACAGGTAGTGTGACTAGCCCAAGGCCTCTCCTTCAGTAAATACAGGACCCAGGTCTTCTCCATCCTGGTTTAGAGCACATTCCACCATGTCATGATTCAACTCTAGAATACATATATACGATTTGCTTCTCTCTGTGGAGCAATTCTATACATCATTTGATTATTTAGCAAATACCATAATGTGCTAAAAAAATAATTCTGGATATTGGACAGACCATCTAAAGTCACATTTACTATTTTACTAGGCATACACTACCTTCCAAGCTAATGTGATTTAATCAATCAATTAACAAACCTTTATTAAGTATCTAATATATGCCAGGCACTGTCAAGCTCTGGGGACAAAGACAACAATGAAGTAGTTTACAGTTAAGCTAGGGAAGATAGCATGCGCGCGCGCGCACACACACACACACACACACACACACACACTCTCCCTCTCTCTCTCTCTCTCTCTCTCTCTCACACACACACACACACACACACACACACACACACACACACACACACACACACACACGGGGTAGACACAAAACAGATATAAGGTAATCTTGTGGGGGAAGGAACTAACATCTGCAGGGGTTGGGGAAGGCTTTGTGCAGAAAGGTGAGGCTTGAACTGTATGAAAGAAAGAAAGTAGGAACTCCAAGAGGTTGGAGTGATAAGGGAATGTGTTCTAGGCCCAGAGAAAGGCCAGTGTGCTTAGGACACAGACAGAAGAGATAAAATGCCATCATAAGGAACAGTAAGTAAGAAGGCCAGTATGAACCGAAAGGGGTCTTAAATATCATCCAGCCCCATCCCTTTATAGATGAGGAAACTGAAGCCCAAAAAAGTTAACTCACTTGCTCATGGTCATACACCAAGTTAGTAACAGGGTGGAAATATAATCTGGACCTCCTGGCTCCTAATTAAAAACTCTTTCTACTACACCATCCCAAAAGGTGTTTCTTATTATGCAAAATTCTTATCTCTATTTATACATACTGGAATGGAATTGCATTGTGTTCACTGCCTAACACTTTGAAATAATAAAATGATCTTCCTACAAGTAATAAAACTGCACATTTGGCATCTTATCACACTTCACTAACCTAGATAAGCCCCAGTTATTCTGAATCAATGAGGTCTTATTAAATTTTAAATTATTTACATTAAGTTGGGTCAGGCTAAACACTTATCATGAAACATTCAGACAATAAGTAACACTTAAATTTGTATATTCAATTACCTAATTTAAAAATAACTATTGATTTGAGGAGTAAGACATTTCCTTATAAAGATACTTAATACATTCAATTCCTCTAACAGCATATATCTCCCAGGGCTGTTGTGAGGATCAAATGAAATAATATTTGTAAAGTGATTGGAACAATGCCTGGCATATAGTAGGTGCTTAATAAATGCTTCCCCACCCCTTCCTTTACCCCTCCCACATTCCTAGAACTTCATTCATATTCAGCCTCACCTAAACCAGCTGTAGCTTAGAAAAACTGGGGAGAAAACTGAGAAATTTTATAAACATGTATAAAAGGCATGATGTTTCATGATCTTTTCTTCGAGTCTTTCATAGATATTTTTTAGTTGCCAAATATTTGACTTCTTTTTAGTGATTTTTTTCTTTTACATTTTTATAGTCGATTGTTATTTTCCTGGTTTTAATTATTTCACTCACCATTCATACAAATCTTCCCATGTTTCTCTGAATCCCTCATATTAACAATTTCTTACTATACAATATTCCATTAATATACATATCATAATTGTTTTTTCCGATTGCCTATTGATAAGACATCCATTTTGTTTCTGGTTGTTTGCAACCAGAAAGATCATAGTTTTTGCATATATTGCATCTTTGGGCTTGGTTTTTTTTTTTTACACTTTCTTGTAGAATTACTTATTGAGTAGTACAGACAGTTTAATTACTTTTCTTATTGGAATACAGAATGGTGGAACCTCTCTGCAGCTCCTCCATCAGTGTGCCTGTCTTCCCACAACTCTTTTAATATTGACACCTCATCTTTTGTCACCTTTACCAATTTGACCTGAAGTGTCAAACCTTATAATTGTTTTAATTAGCATTTCTTTTATTATTAGCAATTTGGATTTTTTTTTCATATGGTTGATAGTTAGGAATTCTTTTAAGAATTGTTTACCAGCTTTAACCACTTATCTGTTGAGGAATGGCTCTTGGTGTTTTGTATCAATTTCCTTGCTTAGATAATTACCATAGCCTCCCAATTGATCTATTTCCAGTCTCTTCCCTCTTATTCTCTCTGCAGCTGCCAAAACATCTTTCTAAGCCACCGATAGGGCATGGTAAGTAATTTACCTGCTCAAGTATCTTCAGGGGCTCCTCTGTGCCTCTAGGATAAAACACAAACTTCTCACCACAGTCTCTACATATCTTCAGCCTGTGTGAAATCTACCAGACTTATTTCTCTCAATTCTCCTTCAAGTGTTGAACAAATTATTATATATGCTATATACTATAGATCAGATCTGCCTATATATATATATATATATATATATATATATATGCTATATACTATAGATCAGATCTGCCTATATATATATATATATATATATATATATATATATATATATATATATATAAAGCCTATGCTTGGCATTCCATTTTCCGTGTGCCTTCATACAGGCTGCCCTCATGGCGGAAATGGACTCATTCTCCTCCTTCAAATTCTTAGCTTCCTTCAAAACCTTTCCTGATTGCCATTGTTAAAGGATCTTTCCCACCTCTAACTTGTCTTTGTCTATAACTTTTATTTCTTAAGTAGAATATAAGGTCCCTGAAGATGAAAAGTTTTCCACCTCTGGAGCCTAGAAAATAATACTTAATAAATATTTGTTGTAATGGAAAGATACAGCATAGTTGTTTTTTTTTTCAATCTTTATATCTCTAGGGCCTAGCATTTCTGGTGTGCTTAACAAATGTTTTTGGATTGAGTTAATTGAACCAAAAGGGATATAATTTCAATCCAAAGTCAGGATCTAGACAGTATGGTTTCATTTGCTCTTTTCATTATAACCTTTGCAAAAGAAAGCATATGCATTCTCTTTCAGGCCCTGCTCCACCAACTCCATCATACTGAAATCAATAGCCATCTCTAGGGCTCCTTTCTGCCTCATTACCATTCTAATTTGTCTCAACCAAATCCATCTAGGGTTTTAGACTTTTATTTTTTTCTTACTCTAATAAACAGGCTTTTTTTTTTAAGATTAAGTGGAATAAGAAAGAGGATAAGAACAGCTCTTATCTCATTGCAAAAGGACTAGAGAAAATGAGAAATTCCTAAGGAATTTCTGGTAAGTCATTTTGCTGAGCCTCTATCCAGTTTGACAATCCATCTTCCCATCCAGTTTTCTGAATCCTTCTAAGTCAGCTTGCTGTGTGGATAAGAGGATGGAAGTGTAATACGACAGGCAAAACAAGGATGAATTCCTCTTGACAAGGAACCTTTCTGACAAGAGATCAATCCTGGGACACTCAAGAGGTAGGTGACTTATCTGTGGTGAATAGGCTATTTCACGTATGCCTCTGATAATGACTTCAATGTATACTGTCCCTCCAGATGCCACATACATACTAGATGAGCTGATGTGTTTCAGGACCTTCCTCTAGTAGCATTATCACTCTTTCTTATGATGCAACCAGGTCCAACATAGGATTCTACAGTCATGAAAAAGAAATCTACACTTTCTCTTTAAAGTTTAAGTCTAGATTCCAGGAAATGGTTTAATGATAACTTAATTCCATATTATGGCTAACTCTCATCTGTAGCTCTACACATCCGAGTAGGGGAAAAGGGTCACACTTTGATGTCAATGGTCAAAAATTATCCACTACATTTTTTTCTCTGCTGATATCACAAGTTCCTTATTTACACTTACAAAAATAGATTAGTTATTCCTCACTTATTTCTAAGAAATCAAAAGAGGATTATCTGACATTAGTATTAAGCGCAGATAGGAAATCTGGATATAAAGAATACAGGGAACATAAACTTAAGTGAATCCTAATTGCAGAAAATACATTTGAAGCATCAGGTGTTTGATGGACCTTTGCACGAACGGGTAGGTTGGGATATTCCCCTTGTTGTAACAGCAATAAAACCATATTGGTATACCATAGTTCTATTAAGGAGCAGCAATAACTATGCTATGATAATTTCCCTTCATTTGAATAATTTCCTAATTTAAATTTTGCACCTTTCTACACCAACTATTCCACAAACTATGTTTACATACTGCCCCATTGGCTTAAAGCCTTTTATTAGGGGTAGCAAAAACTTAGCACACAGGCTATAAACTGGCTGATGACAACACTTTTGATAACTCCTGGAACACAAAAGCAAAAAGTCAACAAAATGTTTTCAACTATCACCACACCCTTAAAAGGATGGTAGCAAATATTTCCTTTTCATAAATGAAAAAATGCAGGCACAAAGATGGAGTGACATGATTGAGGTTATAGCGAGTTGCATCAGTGGGAGTAAAAAAATTATAGCCCAGCACCTTGAGCATTTCCCAAGCTATCTCCTAACAGACAGGAATCCAGCCATTGCAGGATATCAAGTGATATTCCAGCCCATGTGAGAGTGTCACAAACAGAACCCAATGTACTAGCAAAAAGGCAGGGAGCTGTTGCAAGGAGGCAGACAGAGGGCTCTAGCAGTGTGAACACAGAAAATAGCTATATATATAAAAGAAATTCCCAGACATACAAACTCTTCAAAACAGATAGTGATCTTTAATTTAAAACAGAGACAGTTTATTCGTGGAGAAAACAGTGACAGAACACCCCTGGGACTTGGAATTTCACTCTAACAATTAAAATTGCATTTAAAAGGCTGACAAGAGAAGAGTTTGGAGTCCTGAAGAAAATATGTTTTTAAAAAACCTGCTGTTTCCTTTACTTGGATTAAATATATTTACCTCTTGGGAAAGAAAGATAGCTACTGATTAATTTCTTTTTTTGAAGGATGAGATTTGCAGCTTCACTGTTTGGTGTGTGCACTTGAAAAACCAGAACAGGAGTGCAGAGGTGGAAGGGGAAATCAAAGCATAATCTAAAGAGGTAAGAAAATGGGATGAAGAATGGTACAGGGTCAGATTTTCTCAGTGGTTCCTGGATGGCGTGGGTGAATCTTTCTCCAACAATTAATGTTCATCTAAGCCTGTGGCATCTAGAAGAAGTCCCATGGACATGAAAATTCATCTGTGCCATCGTCATCAGAAATAATGGCAAAGGACTAGCCATGAAGGAAAGCCTGTTTTTGGAGTGCTTTCTATGTCCATGGACAACTGTGGCAAGTTAGGCTGAGTTCAAGCTTATGAGCTTGTAAGAAGAATGTATTATGTGTCAAGTCTTATAGGATAAGAACAAGTAAGCTCATCATAAAAGTGATAAACCAGGATTTTTTCCCCAAAAGGTTTTCACGGCCCTTGTGCAATCAATGATGTACTAGTCTCTGTTTCTTGCTTTTTCTAGTGAAAAGTTCACACAGTTCTTCCAGATGAAATTCATGGCAATACAAATTATGACTGTTGATTATAGGACCTGCCTAAGTGTCTGGGTTGCCCAAATTTCAGCTGTTAGGGTTCATCCTGGGGCGCTTTGCTTCATTATTTTTATCATCAAGATGGCAAGAACTTTCACTCGTGGTTTCTTTGTCCTTCCAGTCTTGGCCAGTGGCCAGCACCTGCCGCACAGTCATGTTAACCCGAGCTCTTTGCAGATAGTTGGCACACACCTGCCAGTCCTCCACAGAACAGGGTTCTGCAACTGAACCTGCAGGTAAGGCATCTGGGAGTGGTACCTCCAGGCAATGAGGCAGGCTTGTCCCATCAAAATTTGGGAGGACTCTTGGGACAGCGTGATTCAATAGACGACTGAATCCTGACATCACCATGATGTCTCCACTATGCATAAACATGGCTGTGGGGACTTCGTCTCTTTTGAGGCCACCCAGAAGAAAGATGGCAGACTGTCCAAAGCTATAAAAAAGTACAGGAAAAGCAATAATGAATTCTGGCTGTTGGTGGCAAAGCTATTCCTAATTAGCGATGCTATTACAATTGACCTTAATTTGGATCATTCTCTAATTTAATTCTGCACTTTTCTACTCCAACTATTCCACAAACTGTATCAACATCCTGCCCTGTTGGCTTAAAGCCCCTTATTAGGGTTGGCCAAATCTTGGTATACAGTATATGTCACAAACTGGTCTATGCTAGCATCTTGATAACCCCTAGGATGCACCAAAAACCATCAATACCACAATAAAAATCAATACACTGATAAGTTGCTAAATCATAAATTTTTAAATGACTGAATCATATTATTTGCTGGAATATTTTTATTGATGTTCAAGTATTTTAATAAAGGTCATTAAAATATTTTATTTTTTTCATTTTTACATTTTAGGCATAATTAGTGAGGCTTAAGGTAGAAGCAATTATATTTTAAGTTCTCTTCTAGCACTAATACATAATGAAAAATCTGGACACATCCCTGTTGTCTGAGGACTGGCCTATTTAAGTTCAGAAAGGCTGGCTACAGGGTGATGACCATCTTCACAGAGAGGGTGTAGTCTCTATCAGTTGAAGCAACAGCCACATAAATAAATTCACATATTCTTGACTTTCTACAGTAAATGAAAAATAACCACTTTACACAAATTAAAACCTAATTTTTAGGGACACTAGCACAGTGGCCTGTTACTTTTCAATAAGCTTACACTAAGAGGTTGGAAAGGTCTTGTTTTATGCCATGCTGCTGCCATAGAGCACTGGCACTATATCTCAGTCACAAGAATCAGTCCTAATACAGCTTAAAGAGAGCTTACTAACTGTGCAGTGGTCATCTCTCCAACAAAGCGTGAGAGAAACTCATTTCACTTATGCCTAGAACTGTAGAGGTCTTGAGAGAAAAGATCACTACGGAGTTAAACATTGAACACTATTTAATAACCTTGATGCTTAGCTTAAACAAGCTTTAGACAAAAAGGATAATCACAAACCTTCTTCTTCAGATCAATTACCTAAAGGACAGGAGAGGCTTGGTGTGGTCTAGTTCTGATCTGTCAACATGGATCCCCAGGGTAGAGTCTAATCGATAGTAATTGAGTATTCCAGCCTCAGCTTGGAAGTCCTGAAATCCACATGCAGCAGCCACTTGTTCTGAGAGGTAAGCCAGGTCTGGGGGGAAAGGCGTGTAGTGATCAGCTGAATATGTCTTTGATAGAAATAGAAGGAAGGAAAAATAAAAAGACAAAAAAACTTAGGAAAAAAGAAAGTTGTTGCATTTTATCAGTTAGCACTGTAAAACAATCTATGCCAGTATTAATATTCTTACAGGTCACTGCATGGCTAAGGTGCTTGTACTCTGATGTGACTGGTTCTTAAAGGCAGTTCAAACATCACAGTTTGTTAGTTTTTGGTTTCTCAGCTTGTGAAAAAAAGCTATGTAACTGCAGTAATGTATTTGGCCAGGCAGTAAGCTTACAAGTAATAGCTCAAAGTCTACTTTGCATTTTGGCTACTGGATTATTATTATAGGGGGAGATACCTTTAAATATTTTCTTCCCCTGAGCTGGCTCTGAATTGATACCACTTAAGCAAGCCACCACTTCCAGCACCAATGATTCCTCATATCCTTTTTTTCTTAAAAATCTAAATCCCTATCATGCCCTCTCGTCATAAGATCTTCGTGACTTGACAATTCAGGAATCTGCCAACGCCACAGTTTTGATATAAACTTCAACATCACAGTTTGCTCTGCAGAGATAAGGCAAAAGCCTACTTTGGTTAAGTACATCCATAGCCTCCTGAGAGACTGCTGTCTTGATCGGGATCTCCTTCCCTTTCACCCCTCTTTACTAGCCAACTCCAAATATGATTAGGAAGCCCACTTCTGTCTCAGGTCTTTACTAGCCCCCAAGCATCTGTTACCAGGCTGCTGGCACATGTTTCTCAAAGCAGGTAAAATGACTTTGATATGCTTTTGGGTTTTTTCTTTTAATCTTGCTAGTGGCTCAAGAAGATGCTTTTCTAAAATGTTCTACCATTTGTCAAATGTGGCCTAGTAATGACTGACATTTACATAGCACCATAAGGCCATTCTCATTTGATCCTTATCATTCTGTGAGACAGAAAATACAAGTTGTATTATCCTTTTAATTATTATTTCATTATTATCCTTTTTTTTTGGGGGTTGGGCAATGGGGGTTAAGTGACTTGCCCAGAGTCACACAGCTAGTAAGTGTTATGTGTCTGAGGCCGCATTTGAACTCAGGTCCTCCTGAATCCAGGGCCGGTGCTCTATCCACTTCGCCACCTAGCTGCCCCTATTATTATCCTTTTTAACAGATGAATAAGCTGAGGCTTGGTAAGTGAGATGACTAGTCCAAGGTTACCCTGCTAATAAGCAGCAGAGCTAGGACTTGAATCCATCCACAGCCATTCAGCTGCCTTTACACTAACTGCTTCTGTGTCGCTTCTGCTCTTACCACTCTTTTTTAGCCCTCTGCATTCTGGATTCAAATTTCATTGTTCAACTGAAACTGTTACCTCCGCACTTAACAGTAATCTCTTAATTGCTAAATCTAATGGCCAGTCTCAGTACTGATCCTTCTGATTCTTACTTCATCATTTGATGTAGTTGACCACCTTCTTCTGGCTGCTCTTTCATCTTGCTTTTTGTGACACTGCTTTCTCTTGGTAACCCTTCTACTTGTGAGGTGATGAGGGCCTATACCAGGGTGGTGGCAGTGTCAGAAAAGGATCTTATGAGTGTTTTTTTTTTTTAAGACGGGGAGACTTGGATAAATTTGTTGGCAGTTGGGAAGAAAGAAATCAGGACGTAGAGAGACTGAAAATTAGAAAGATGGGAACAATAGAGGAAGCAATCTGCTGAAGATGAGAAGGGATGAAATCAAGGCTAAGTGGAGAAGTATTAGTCTTAGCAAGGAGAAAGGCTGCTTCTTCATCAGAGACGGGTGTGAAGGAAACAGCAGAGGAATCAGATATGAGAAGAGCAAAAGTCAAATATTCTCAATTTTTTGGTGACATATGACATATTGAGAGATTGGGTTATAAGGGTGTGAATGGGAGGCTTGAGGAGAAAAGGAAAGGTTTGGTATAACTGCTATGGTCAGTAGAACAGAAAATTACTTAGGGAGTAGAAAGACTGCCTTGTCCAGTTGAGTCTAGATAATATGAATTTATAAGTGGGCTCAGTTCTTATGATTTTATGACTTCTTTCAGGTCTATTCAGCAGCATGAGTAGAATAAAAAGAGGAAGATGGTTGGGGTTTGGCAAGGTGTGACAAGAAAAGGTAATAAATGATTCAAGAGTGGATGACAGTGTTCATGGAGGGGTCAAAACTAGCCAAAGCAGAAGTAATAGCCTGGGAAAGTAATAGGGAATAGATGAACTGAAAGTTATGGTGAGAAGAACAGCTTTAAGAGGAGGAAGGCATAGGGAGAAATGGAAACATTACTGATTGGATAAAAGGATTTCAGAGTTCTGCACATGAAGTGGAACACTTGTGGGTAATGGAAAAATCAAGGGTATGATCATTCTTGTGTGTAGCTGAGGGGGAGTGGAGGAAAGGTCACGGGACCTGAGTAGATTCAGTATCTGGGAAGTTGGGGTACTTGAAGGTTCCTGAATATGTATGTTAGAAGTCCCCTAGTACAAGAGCTAGAGTTGGGGGTGGAGAGGGAGACTGTGAGTGAAGCAGTGAACTCCTTGAGAAAGGAGGGAAAATGTCCTGGGGGCTAGATATAATGGTCACCAGGATTCAGACTGTGTAATAAATTAAGACTGTGTCATCCTCAAAGGAGGAGAGATTGCTGATTGATGGTGACAGAAGGAAAATACAGAAGTGGCAACAGGAAGCAAGGAGTATTTTTACTTCTTCTAACTTAGGAGTATTCTAAATCATTCTAACCCATGGGGACCAGTGGGTCAAGGGATGTGAGAGTCTAGTCAGCACTAGAAAGGGAAGCAGTGTCATCTGGAGAGAGTCAGGTCTCAGCGAGTGCCAACAGATGGATGGAACAAGAGAGGAAATGGTTTAAAATAAAAGGAATTTATTAACTATAGGGTAAGAATTCCAAAGACTACAACAGAAAGGGCAAGTAAATCTGATGAGTGATACTGGGGTGAAGGGCTCAGCATCATTGAGATGTGGAGAGTAATAGGGACTGGAAGTATATTACAAATGGGGAGTGAGGCCAGAGAGGTTACCTGTGGATAGCAAAGGTCTGCTGATAAAGGCAGGTGCCTAGAACACTCAAGGCCAGCCTTCAAAGTCATGGAACAGCCTTCAACTGCACAGCCTCATGGTAGGTGGTACAGTCATTAATACAAATTGCAAACGCTCACTAAATACTAAATGAAGACAAGCCAAGAGCCAGTGTTCCAAAGCCCATCCTCTTTCCTCAAAGCCCAACTCTAATGCTACATCCCTCATAGATGATCTCATCTCCTATTTCACTAAGAGTAGCTCTGTCTTTGGTGATCACTGTCTTGGCCTCTCCTGCTTTTCTCCACTTCTGATCATTCCTTTTAGTCGTTTCTCTTCCTTTTCCAAACTCTCAAGTAAAGGTGTCTCCAAAGGTGCTCTGTCCTATTACTTTTGCTATATTCTATCCCTTGCAGTCTTATCCACTTGTGTGGGTCCAACTATCATTTTCTATCTAGATGACCCCTAAATCTACACATGCAAGCTCAGATTTCTCCCTTGTGTCATATCTCCAATTACATGCTGGTCCTTCTTTCTGGATATTCTACTGGTACTTCAAACTCAACATATTTAAAACTAAACTCATAATTTCCCACCTAAGGCCACCCTGCCTCCCAAATTTCCTATTTCTGTTGGTGATACCATCATTTCCCTGGTTACTTAGGCTTGATATCTAGTTGCCTTTGACTGTTCCCACTCCCTTGACCCCACATCTAATCAGTTGCCAAATCCCATCAATTCTATCTCCATAGCACCTCTTACAGGTATTCTCTCCTCTTCAAAAACATTGACACCATCGTCTCAAATTCTTATCACTTCTCACCAGTACCATTGCAGTAGATTCATCACTGGTTTCTCTTTTAGTCTCTTTTTCTCCAACCCATTCTTCACCTAGCTGCCAAAAGGTCCAAAGCTCTGACTGTATGTAACAGTCCCCTGCTCAACAACTTTCAGTGACTCCTCCCTACAAAATCAAGTACAAACTTCATACCATGGCATTTAAGGACTCCACAACCCAATTCCAACCTATCTTTCTAGCCCTACTAAACTCTAATACCTTTCATGTACTCTACATTCTTGTTGAACTCGACTACCAACTATTTTCCACTCTTAATCTTGCCCTCTGTTTCAACTTCCATGAATTTATGCAGCTATTCCCGTGCATGAAATGTATTTTCTCCAGATCTGTCTGTTGAAAGTCCTCTTCTTTCAAGACCAGGCTCAAATGCTAACCCCTTCATGAAGTTTTTCCCTGATCTTGACAGCTGAAAATTCCCACCTCAATTTTCTTACATCACTTTGTCTAGAACATTTTTGATCCTTATCATATTCTACCTCATATCACAATTATCTGTATACATGTTCTATTTTTCCTATTAGATTATAAACACCCTGAGGACAAGAAGTAGTTTTAAAAAACTCATTGCATATATATAGTAAGCACTTATCAAATATTTGTTAAAACACTGCTCTTGAAAAAGTAAAGAAGTAAATTTCATGACATAGACTTCTAACAAAGAAAGCCCTAAAAACTTCTGAAAAAGACAAGATATTGCTCTTGATATATTATTCACTTCTCCTTGAGAAACTTTAAGAGAGATATTAAGAGGAAATAAATGAAAAAGATCCACCATCAAATCTGATAACTCAGGTCTACTAAAGAGATTGAATCACTTAAAACCAGAGAAGCATGGAAGTAGAAAAGATCAGAATTGGCAAAAAAAAAAAAAACAACCCTTTTTTTTAATACCTTATTGTCCCAGTTGTAATGGTAGCCCAGGGTTACCCAACGTAGTTTTTCTAGTAAACTTCGAGGTCTCTTTTTGTTCACATCTTTATTTCTAAAAAGATTGATGAGAAAAAGAGTTTATTAAATTCAAGCTGCAACAGTAGTAACATTGTGTAGCTCTTTTGACCTCAGTGCCCAGATATTATTTAGCGGTAAGTACTGTTACTCACAGTAGCAGAGGGGGAAACAAGCAGAGATAAAATTATATGACTAATATGACAATGACAGCCAGTGAAGCAGCTAAAACTGGCTCTTGCCATTTCTGATACCAAGTTTTTGCTTTAAATTCCTTTGTTAAAAGAAGAAAGGGTAACACTTTAAAACACCTCAATAAGGCTAAAATGAGGCCGAATATAGTTACAGTTATCCAAAACTAAAAGTGCTGTAGGTAAATGAAAACTTGGTTAATACAATATTTCCATTTCAGCTTTTCTAAAAGGAAGGTATGAATTAATCACAGCTATCACAAACAAATAACTTTGGCAAACTACAGTAAGTGGTAATTAAAAAAAAAGCTGGTTTACCACATCATCTTTGCACTGACTAATGGAGCTTAGATAATTGAGACTTAGACAATAATTAAAGCTTTACTCTAATTGATTTGGTTTCTGACATTCCCTCTTTCAAACCACAGGAGGTTTCTGTAAAAAAGAAAGGTACTTTTTTCTACAATTGTATCTTGTCTGGCCAAATCTAAGGGTACAGTTATACCATCATTAGGGGGAGGAAGCTTGTCTGGTTTGGCAAATCTTTAAATACATAAATCAATTGAAACAAATTTATTAAGTGCCTACTGTGTGCCAAGTGTGTGAGATCTATGAACCAAGGTAAGCTGGTTGTGGTCAAATAGGAGACAGAAAGATTAAACATGGACATCTTGGGTGTCAATGAACTTAAATGGATGAATTTAATTCAGATGATCACCAGCATCAGTCCATATAAGTCTTTCCAGGTTTTTCTGAAGTCTGCCTGCTCCTCATTTCTTATAGCACAATAGTATTCCATTACATTCATATACCACAACTTGTTCAGCCATCCCCCAATTGATGGGCATCCCCTCAATTTCCAATTCTTAGCCACCACAAAAAGAGCTGCTATAAATATTTTTGTACATATGGGTCCTTTTCCCATTTGTATGATCTCTTTGGGATACAGCCCTAGAACAAAGTTGATCAGTTTTATGATGATACATCTTCTAGAAATAACATAAAAAAAGAGATGTCATATTAATTACAAGAGACTGGAATGCTAAGGCAGGAAATCAAAAGATGATCGGAATAACAGGCAAGTTTGGCCTTGAAGTACAAAATGAAGAAGGGGCAAAGACTGATAAGAGTTTTTTCAAGATAATGCACTGCTTATAGCAAATACTCTTTTTCAAGAAACCAATGGGCAACTCTACACACAGACATCATCAGATGGTCAATATCGAAATCAGAGTTGATTATATGCTTTGCCGCCAAGGTGGAGAAGATCTATACACTTAGTTAAAACAAGGCCTGGAGCTGACTGGCTCTAATCATTAGTTTCTTATTGCAAAATTCACATTTAAATTGAAGTAGGGAAAACATCAGACCGCAGAGGTATAATCTAAATAACATTCCTTATGTATATGAAGTGGAAGTGATGAACAGATTTAAAAGATTAGGTCTGACAGATAGAATGCCTAAAGAACTATGGAAAGAAGTTCACGATATTATGCAGGAGACAGCAACAAAAAACATTCTTAAGGAGAGCAAGAAAGCAAAATGGCTGTCTGATGAGGCTTTATAAACAGCAGAGAAAAGAAGGAAAATGAAAGGTAAAGGAGAAAGGGGAAAAATATACCCAAATGAACACAAAATTCTAGAGAATAGCAAGGAAATAATATAATGGCAAATGAACTATATAATATATAATGCAATGCAAAGAAATAGAAGAAAACAGAATGAGAAAGACAAGGTCTCTTCAAGAAAATTAGAGATGTCAAGTGAGCATTTCATGCAAAAATGGGCATGATAAAAGACAAAAATGGTAGGGACTGAACAGAAGTAGAGGAGAGTAAGAAAAGTTGGCAAGAACATACAGAAGAAATATGCAAAAAAGATCTTAACATCACCCATAACCACAATGGCGTATTTACTGATCTAGAGCCAGACATCCTGGAAAATGAAGTCAAGTGGACCTTAGGAAGCACTGCTAACAACAAGGCTAGTGGAAGTGTTGGAATTCCAGCTGAGCTATTTAAAATCCTAAAAGATGACGCTGTTAAAGTACTGCACTCATGATGCCAGCAAATTTTGGAAAACAGGACTGGAAAAGATCATTTTATGTCCAAATGGTAAGGAAGGGAAACTTCAAAGAATGTTCAAATCACTGAACAATTGGGGGCAGCTAGGTGGCACAGTGGATAGAGCACTAGCCCTGGAGTCATGAGGACCTGAGTTCAAATCCAGCATCAGACACGTAACACTTACTAGCTGTGTGACCCTGGGCAAGTCACTTAACCCCGATTGCCTCTCCAAAAAGAAAAAAAAATACAAGGCAAATCACTGAACAATTGTGCTCATTTCACATACTAGCAAGGTTATGCTTAACATTCTGCAAGTTGAGCTTCTGCAATATGTGAACCAAGAATTACCATAAGAGCAGGCTGATTTTTGAAGAGGCAGAGGAACTAGAGACCAAATTGCCAGCATTCACTGCATTATGGAGAAAGCAATGGACTTTCAGAAAAATATCTATCTCTGCTTCACTGAATACACTAAAGACTTTGACTGTGTGGATCAAAACAAAATGTGTCAAGTCCTCAAAGAGATGGGAGTACCAGGTCATCTTACTTGTCTCCTGAGGAACCTATATGCAGGTCAAGAAACAACAGTTAGAACCGAACATGGAACAAATGATTGGTTTAAGGTTGTAAAAGGAGTGTATGACAAGGCTGTATATTGTCACCTTATTTATTTAACTTATATTGAGAGTACGTCATGTGAAATGCCAGGATGGATGAATCAAAAGCCAGAATTAAGGTTGGCAGGAGAAATCAACAATCTCAGATATGTAGATGATACCACTTTGATGGCAGAAAATGAAGAATTAAGAAGCCTCCTGATGAATGTGAAAGAGGAGAGTGTAAAAGTTGGTTGGAAGCTTAACTTCAAAAAAACTAAGATCATGTCAACTGGTCCCATTACTTCCTGGCAAACAGAAAGAGAAATGGAAGCAGTGTCAGATTTTATATTCTTGGGCTCAAAGATTACTGCAGATGGTGATTGCACTTATGAAATTAAAAGATGCTTGCTCCTTGGAAGGAAAGCTATAGCAAATCTGGATGGCATACTAAACAGCAGAGACATCAACTTGCCAACAATGGTCCATATAGTCAAAGCTATGGTTTTTCAAGTAGCAATGTATGGCTGGTGGGAGTTGGACTACAAGGACAGCTGAGCAAGGTAGAATTGATGCTTTCGAATTATGGTGCTGGAGAAGACTTTTGAGAGTCCCTTGGGCAGCAAGAAGATCAAATCAGTCAAGACTTAAATAAATTAACTTAGATTATTCACTGCAAACCAAATACTGAAACTGAAACTTACATACTCCAGCCACATAACGAGAAAACAGGACTTAATGGAAAAGACCCTGATGTTGGGAAAAGATTGAAGGCAAAAGGAAAAGAGGATGGCAGAAGATGAAATAGGTAGTGTCAGGAAATAACGAACATGAGGTTGGACAGATTTCAGGAGACAGTGGAGGACAGAAGGGCTTGGTGTGCTATAGTCCATGGGGTCACAAAGAGCTGGACACGACTGAACAACATTTGCCAAGCACTGTGCTAAGTGCTGGATCAGTGCTAGGTTCTTTGAATAATCCTTTCCCTTTTCCCTCTTCCCACCCACAATATTCTAAACTAGCAGTTTGTTGTTCTGTTGTCTTCAGCTGTATCTGACTCTTCATGATCCCATCTGGGGTTTTCTTGGCAGAGATACTGGAGGAGTTATTAATTACCTATTCTGTGCCAGACACTGTACTAGGTAAGGTAGGGATACAAAGAATAAAAAACAAACTGGTCTCTGCCCTCAAGATGCTTACTTACGTTTGATTACGATGAGAATCAACAAGTAATAGAGATTCATAAAAATAATGATTCATCACTGTCTTTGATAAGAGCTTTTGGAGGATTAGGCAACTTTCTATAGAGCTTTCAGACCAAAAATCTGATCTCAGTTGAAATGTGATTCTTGGATGAGGACAAATTGCATGAATTTGTCAAATCCTCAAATGGAATGAACTCAAATTTAATACTGATCTTTAAAATTGATTTTTTTCAATTAATAAAAATCTATTTTCTCTCCTTCTCACCTCCTCCTCTTCCCTATGAAAAACAAAACCAAACCTTTGTAATAGATATGAATCTTCAAGCAAAACAAACTCTTTCATTGGCCATGTCCAAAAAATATGTCAAATTTCATACCTGAGTCCATCATTTAACTGTCAGGAAGTGTGTAGCATGCTTCATCATCAACCTCTAGAATCATGGTTGATCACTGCGGTGATCAAAGTTAAGTTCTTCAATATTGTTTGTCTTTAAACAATGTTATTTTTGCTATATAAATTGTTCTCCTGATTCTGTTCATTTCACTCTATATCACTTGGTACAAATGAGTATTGTATTTCCTTCATATGCCATAATTTGTTCAGCCATTTCCCAAATGATAGGTACTCTCTTAGTTTCCAGTTTTTTGTCAATACCAAAACAGCTGCTATAAATAATTTGTATGTATGGTTCCTTTTCCTCTTTGTTTAATCTCTTTAGGGTAGAGACCTAATGGCTTCATTGGGGCATGGTTCCGAATCTAAGCAGTTATATTTGACGATTACAGTATAAAGACAATGAGAAGGATATAAAAGAAATATGAAATATAGTTTTTCCTTGATAAACTTTAAATCTAAATGGGGATAACATTTATGGAAAAGAACAAAAGTATAATTGTACAGAACTGACTATGAGCATTACAGTTTTGAGAAAGGGAAGACCAATTCCATTTCCAGCTAAAACAGATGTGAAAGGTCCTG